TTTTAATTAGGCAGAAAACATTTTCTTTGAGCTATGCCAGAAGACAATAAATATAGCATGTTTTTCTCAATTATGTGATAAGAGAAAAAGAAGCAACAATGTTGTAAAAATCTGAATTACTGGTGTGACTCTTACGTGACAAGGATTTTTATATAAATAGGAAAAAGATTGTTTTGCCTCAGTTTGCATGCCTGTTTTGATGGACAGCTGTCTGTGGTAAAGCAACTTAGATCAATAGACAGTTCATTTGGTTTCTAGAATCAGGAAGATCTTAAAGATAGTACATGTATTATGTTTTCTGTTTTGCCTTCTCTTAATTTATTTTTTCCCTGTCCAAAACCATTCTTTAGAAGGGAAAAACACATGTAGTTTTGGGTATGTCTGCTCAGCACACCACCACCAAAATATCTACTTCAGTAGATTCATTCAACTTCTTTGGGGTCATATTATTATTACTCATATTATTTATTATTATTGCAACCTCTGAGCTTTTAGGAAAAATTCATTGAATTATTTGTCCTCTTCTTTCCTTTCTTATAAGTCCTTAAAGATCTGTGGGGCCTTTGGATCAGCTTATTTTCTGCATAGACTTATTTGTGCTGTTGAAAGAAATGTGTGTTCTAAACATGCCCAGGAATGTTCTGAGTAGAACTTTTCTATACACACTTTACTTATTTATTTTCAACATGTCTGGCTTCTTATCTAAAGTGTCCTATTCTATTTCATTGCCAGATTTAAATAATTAAATTTGATAACCAATAATTAAATGTAGTGTTATTTTTAAGATTATTTTTATTAGGACAAAACACATGGAAATGTCATATTTAAAGTAATAATTATCCAATATTAGTCCTTCTATTTTTTGACCTAATATTTTCTTCTTTACCATGTGAGAGACACAATTAATGGTCAAAGGCTTGGGTTTGGGAATCATCCAGAAAAGTCTTCAAATTGCGGCCCAGCCATTTACTAGCTGTGTGATTGTGGATAATTATTTAATCTTTGTTCAGCCTCATTTTCTACATATAAAAATTAGGGATATTAATAGAATGCATTATATTAAATCTTTGTGAATATTAAAGGAATGAATGCAAAGGCAGTGTTGTTATAGAGTGCCCCCAAAATGTTTGTGAAAGTTATTATTATTGACATTGAATTTAATTAATATTTTTATTGTCTTTCCCTTTTATTTTTCCTCTTGAATTTCCTTGTTAGTGCTCCTGTTTATATGAACTGTTCTTGTACTCCCAGCCCTTTGCATTTTCTCAGACTATCTCATTTGACATTGTGCATATTATGTGTAGGAGGAATTACTACCTTCTTTTCCAAATACAGAAACCAAGTTATGTTACTTTTGCAAAGAGCACACAGTGAGTAAAAGGCAAAGCCAGGATTAGACTTTACTAATTTTTTTACCATGCTTGCTTTTATAAGGCCATTTTTTAAATGGACATCGTAGGCAGCAAATATTCTAACCCTGATGGCACTGGATTGACATGAGTATTCTGAAAAAGTCTCCTCATTTGTTATAAACTTCTCTAACAGCTGGCATTTATTTAGTAATTAATATATACTCATCCTATATGTTGTATATATATAAACTATCTACTTCTACTGGATGTATAACAATGCCACAAGATTGGCAATCTCATTATCTCCTCTACAGATAAGAAAACTGAGGGCTAGTAAGTGGTGAAGCCAAGATTTGAAAGGGGGCAGTTTGCGTCCGAGGCCTGGGCTCTTGACCAGTCTGCTAGGCTATCCCTAAGACAGTAAATTATACTGCAAACTTTCCTGCCTTTCACATTTTCATTTCTCCTCAATTAGTACATTTCAACATGTCATATTATTTCTAAAAATAAAACAAAAACTTTGTCCCAGTGAAATTTTATGTACTGAATAGAAATCATTTCCTAAGGGATTTGTACTTTCCCAGGCGAGACAACTACATAATTTGGAGAGCCCAGTGCAAAATGAAAATACAGGACCCCTTGTTAAAAAGTCATTAGAAATTTCAATTAGAATGTGACAGTGGAGCTTTAAATCAACTGTGTGGTCCTTCTGAGTGTGAGACCCTATGTGACTGGAAGGTGGCTGTGCCCATGACAGTGATGCTGGGGTTCTTGTTTGCAGAGTCGAAGAATGAATTTCACAAACACTCAAGGTAGGAGAGCAAGGAAGAAGCTTTTATTTAGAGATAACATGAGAGGACAGAGCTCCTGGCTCACGCCAGGAGGAGACAAGAGAGTCCGGGGTGGTGTGTTGTCTAGGGGGTTTATAGGTGGTTATAAATGAATATAACAAAGGGCTGGGGATGCAGACCTGCCATATGGTTTTAGAATGTTTATTTTTGATGAGACATCAGGTCTTCTTTCTCTTATCAATTCTTTAGGTAACAGAAGAAATGCATCGCTCTGATTCCTTCCTAGGATAGCAATTTCTTGGTCTGGGAGCATATTAATTAAGACCGCCTGCCCTGCTCTCAGGGTGGGCTGAGTCATTGTCTGTTTGCTTAAGAGTTTGTTAAGAACCTTACTTCTTAACTTCTTGGCTTTTGAAATGCAATCTTATCTTTAAGATGGAATCCTTCCTGTTTTTGATACGTTGCTTATAGCTGGGTTTGCTTGCTAAATCAATTGCCCGGTTACAAATTATTTGATAAGGGCTAGAGGAAGAAAAACAGCATCTGAGTAAAGTTATAAAAAAATAAGCTGGGCCTTTTAACAGGCTAAACTAAATCTCACAGTGGTATGATTTAATTGATACAATGAAGACATGGGCTATGCTGAGGTATTTTCTTATCCGGGGGGATATTCAAATATTCCAGGCTAAATTACTCCTGGCTATTTAGTTTTAACTAATCTCACTGAAGAATGCCTATATTCCTAGTTTGATATTTTTACCCTAGAGAATTAATGTGACTCTGATTTTGCTTAATGTTTAACATGGAGTTTTGGTAGGGTTTTCTTTGCACATTGTTACATTGCTCTGAATGTGATTAACCTGTTTTGCTTTTTTTTTTCTGGAGGCCCTCACCCTACCCTGTCTAAACCCATGGTCCCTGTCTCAACATGAACTTTGTGAGCAGGGCCCGTAACCCTAAATCTGGCCCTGGTTCTGTGCAGTTATCCTTCTGTGAACCCAAAGAAAACCTCAGACTATGAAAAGAACAGAAGTACTGGAGACCTCTTTTATTAAGCCTGCCCCAGAATCACTAGTCTCTGCACTGACAAGTAGTATCCTGAGGCATTGCGACCTTTGGTGAAGTGGAATTTGGGAACAAAGCAAAAGGCTAGGAGGCCCCAGATCTAATTACTTGTTCTGTGAGAAAGGAGAAGTATAAACTGCTTCTCACCTTAAAGGTCCAGAGTGAGATGGTAGTCAGGATGTGGGGAGAAGAAAGAGGAAGGGTGGGGAACTCCCAGCACCCCTGGTGAGGGAATCACCCTTGCCTACCATCAGTGGTGGCAGAAACCTGTGAAATATACCCATGTGCCTTGGTTGTTGGGAGAAGAGCCATATTCATTTATGTTTAAAATTAATAAGCCTGGCACTGATCCTTCAAATGCTTTACTTTTTGCTCTTTTAAAATTATAGGCAAAAATGATATTTTTAGTCTTCTTTCTAAAAGGAGAGAAGAGCTGTATTTCTGAAAAATAGTCACCATTAATTCTTGGACTTTGATTCAATCTGTGGCATATGCCAAAAGTATTGTCATTCCATCTTGTAGGCAGTCAAAAAGCAGAACAGGTTCTTTTAGAATCAAAATATACAGGTTTTAATTCAGATACCTCTCTTGTAGATTCTGTGACCTTGGGAAAGTTAATTAACCTTTCTGAGCCTCAGTTTTTTGAAACTGTAAAATGAGAAAATTTAGAAAATAATAACCTCAGAGGGTTTTAATAAGCATTTAATACATAAAGGTGCTTAGTGTGATACCTGGCCTATCTTAAGAACTTGACAAGTTGTAGAGACATTATTTCATATAAATACATTTATATTTCATGCACATATATATGCTTTTAAGAATGTAATATATATGTGTACTTTAGAAAATATATATACATAAAATAAATTTTGTAAGTAAGTTTTGGGCTCTCATATATTGGAGAAGAGGAAATTATAGCTAGGAACACTGGCTGTAATAGGATTTCTTCTTGGGCTCCTGCCTGTCCCTGCTAACTCACATTCAACTTTCATGGCATTCAGATTAAATTACTATTTCCTGCATAATGAGTTACGTTCTCAACATAAACCCTATGCATCAAATAAGCAGTTCAGGTATTCACCTGAGTATAAATATAATCTAACATCAGAAAAAGCCAGGTGTACTTCCTGTCTCAAGTTGTGGGGATGTGCTTCCAGGTGCTTTGTAAAAAACTGGTTGGGGCAGAAGAATTGCCATCTATTGAGGTTTTCTTACTTACACACCACCTCACTCCTTAATCCCTAATCACCTGTTGTATTTTTTATGTATATCTTGATTTTAACTGCAGAAGTTAAAACGGGAAAAAACTGAAGAAGCCCTAGTATCCCATTTGTGAGTGCACACATAGAGTATACATCCAGGCTGGCTTCCAAAATTTCAGTTTTATAGTTCCCTCAAAATTGTTAATAAGAGCTGTTTAGTTATTATATGCCTTATATAGAATTCGCCAAAAATTGTCAATTTGGAAAATTAAGAAAAGGCAGAAGCAATTGTATACCCAACATAAAAAAGTTTGAGTATAAAAATAAACATGAAAATAACAGATGCTTCTCTGTTGTTTTGATAGTGACTAGAAAAAATGTAATAGTAGTTTTATGAAAACTATTTGTGAAATGAGTAATTTGTTTTGTGTCTAAACTTCATAGGAAGCTCCCCTCCTTGAGCTTGACTTGGAGGTTTGATTGAATAAATTATTCCTAGACTTTTGAATTATTAATCTTGGCTGCAAGATATGCAAATCAGACTGCACTATGTTCAGGAGCACAGCACTGGGGCAGAAGCTGTATCAAGTTGCTGGCAAGCAATATTTGTCAAGGGATCAGGTCCTTCCAGTGCAATGGTAAGTCAGAATGCAGCTCACATTGCCCAGGTGTATAAAGTAATGTCAGACCTCCCATTAGTTGGGGGTTTCTTTTAAAGTGGCTTATTTGTAATTAAGGTTTTAAGTTATGTTTAAATGAACTGTCTGAACGACATCTGTAAGTACATGTAGAAGAGCAAAAGAAACTAAGAGGAAGTCATAATTTCTTCTACATTTTTTACCAAATTTAATATCTTGCTGTAATTGCCAAATATTACATTTATTTTCTGAAAGTGGTTTATTATATTTGCTAATGTCTTGGTAACATGTGTTTTAAAAAAGAGTAACTGGATTTACTTAAATAAATATAACAACTTACAGAAAAAGGAGAAGTTCCCAAACCTTATGAAACAATCAAATGTATTTTCATGTTTAAAAAATAATGTGTTAGAGGGATCTTTAAAGCATTTTAAAAACTAAATTTAGCAGTTATGTTTATAAAAATTACATTATTCAGGAATAAAATTCACTAAAAAAAAATAGAAAATTGCAGAAACCATTGCTATTATATCTTCCAGGACTTGTGTTATAACTGATGAGCTGTTTTTAAAGAAAATCATAAAGACAGAATTTGACATCATACTATCACTTTTTAATAATACTCTGATTCTGGTGTAATTTCTGGAATATATAAAAAATGAAGTCATTAGTGTCAAACTATTGTTATCTTTTCAGTGTGAATATTTTTTTATTTAAATTATTTAATAAAAAAATTACTTTTTATTACCATGTAAATTTGCCTTAAGGAAGGTGCTAAGAATTAAAATTTTATAAATGTTCATTTAATTGTGATAATTATAAGAAAAATCAATTTAAAAGCTAATAAACTGGCAAATGTGTTTTTTAAGTTTCCAAAATGGACATTTAAAAAAGGCTGAATACAAAAGTGAAAGAAACATTATTTCCAAATTAAAAATGAGTACTACTTATCTACTTATGTTAGTAAATTGAATATTGTTTGTAGTTTAATAATTCTTATAGATTTAAATATATTTTGGATATAAAATTAAAGATTTCCCTTTAATTGACAATATCTTATAAAAAAGAAAATTATTAAAAATAATTCATATAACTCAGCTATAACCTGCTTATCATGATTTCTATTTCCTAAAATTTAAAAATAAAACCACTAGAAAGCAGAAGAGAGAATATCAACTTTTTATGAAGGAATTTCCCTTCAACTGGGAATGGGTTTAAAGAATCAGCTCACTTCATCAATTTACACAATTGTGATGGTCACACTGAAAACACACTCAACTACAAATATCACCCAAATTAGAATCTACTACCCTGATGGGTCCTGGTGAGGTTAAATTGGCCTGCAAATATTAGATTTTAGGGGGAAAGTTATTTTAATGAAATAAATGTATTTAAAAAGCAGATTATAAAACATCAAAAGGAACATAATCTCATTTTTGCAAAAATAAGTTCAATTAATATTAAAAAGTAGGGAGGTGCCCAAATATTAGGAGTACCTGGTTTATAGACAATTTCTGTTTCTTCTTTTTGTCTCTGTGTTTTCTGAATGAGTGTTACATAGTAACATGTATTTTAAGAAGCTATTTTTTTAAAAAGAATGAAGCAACCATTCACAAGCCAGACAAATGTGGCAAGTTACTCATTTTACTTATTCCAGTCCTGGTCTTCTCTCTCCCTACTACCTCCCTTAGTCGCCAACCCCAGTGGACTATTTAAAAACAGAATTTGCCATGGCTTCATCTTGGCACCTAAATTGTTGAGTGGCGGTTATTGGTAAGCTTGCTTCTAGTTATACAAGCCTTCTTGGCTGTTTCCCTTTCATGGCAGTCACACCTTTCTGCTGCATATATGTTACTGACAAAAGCCAGCATATTTAAGAACCAAATAAGAGGAGAGATGAGTAATGACTAGAGAAAGGAAATTCAAAATGAAACAAATGAGTTTGTCTTAAAGAAACTTTCTATTGTCTTAATATTCATTTAAGTGTGTGCACCAGCTTTTTGAGTATTCCCAGAATAAAGTTGCCCAGAATGTGCTTTGAGGAACTCCAACATTTAAAACATGGGCAGAAAAGATTAGACTACAAAAGAGTCTACAAAAAGAAAAAGGAGGACAACAGTGAAATTGCCATGTCATAAAAGTCAAGGAAGAGAGTGTTTCCAGAAGTTGCGGAATTGAAAGCAGCTGGAAGAGCTAAAAATAGTAATGGAAAATTACCATTGATCTAAAAATGAAGCCTATTTTTTTAAAAAAGATCATTAACCTTTTTGCAATATTTCTAGATATTTTAATTTTTAATATTATCAAATATGTGCTGATTTGGGGGAAATAATAGGGAGTCCAAATAAACCAGAAGGAGAAAAGATACAATAAAAATGTTCTGGAATCTCATCAATAGAGAAAAAATACTTTGGTATTAATAGAGAAGATATGAGGACTTTCTAGAAGATGCCCTGAACATCCTGCCATTTAATTTCAGAAGTAAATTCCTAATTTTTAAATTAGTTGTTAAAATTGATCTAGAAGTTATATTTAAAAATTTTTAATATGAAATTTATATTTTATATAAATTGGGAACCCACACTGAAACTAAGGTCTGAAAGAAGCATAGCTGATGGAGCCAGGGTCACAGGAGAAAAAGGTGAGTCACTGAAAAGTGAAAAGAGATTCAATGAACTGAGCATCAGGAAAGTTCTCTGTGCATTCAAAATACAGGAATAAAAATAAGCAAGGAGGAGAGGAATGCCAGGTGAGGCTGAAGTGGAGGACAGGAACCAGATCACAGAAGCCTTGAAGTCCCCATTAAGGATTTGCACGTGACTTCTTAGACAGTGGAAAATCAGCTGAATGTTTTGGCTGAGGAGAGTAATATGATAACAATTTTGGCTGTAGTTTTTAAAGATTGTTTAGCTGTTGTGTTGGAGGTAGATTGAAAGGAGGCCAGAGAAGATGTGAGGAGACCATAAGAGGATGCGGCACAGTCCAAGATAAAGATGATGGTGGCTTGTACGAGAGTGGTGATGAGGGAGATAGAGCAATAGTAATGAATTCGAGAAATATCCAAACAAGGTTTGGCAGTTTGTTATTGGAGGTTAGCTATAGATAACTTAAAAGATATTGCTTCGATTTATGAGGTGAGTGCCTGGTAAAGGTTGTAACCATTGACTGAATTAGGTGAAGGTAGAGCAGGATTGGGAAGGAAATTGGAAAGTTCGGTATAGGATTTCTGGATGCAGAGGTGCCTGAGAGAGTTCAGTTAGCAGTACCAAGTATAAATAACTAGAGCTTTTAAGACCAGTCTGAGATAGGATATAAATGTGAGAGTTGATATAAGGACAGTCACTAAAGTCAGAAAATTGGATAAGATCATCGAGGCAAATCTAGATAAAGAAGTAATTCAGTACTGAGATTTGAGGAGCTCAGTACTTGGCCACAGAAGAGCCTGCAAAGAACAGCCAGAGAGAAAGAAGGAAAACTGGGAGGTTGTCATGTCACAAAAGGCAAAGGGAGAGAGTTTCCAGAGGTCATGGTATGAGAAGTCAAGTAAGACTTGTGAACAATGACCACTGGACTGACTAACATGGAGGACATTTTGGTGGAGTGGTGGGTCAGAAGCCAATTTGGAGTAGGCTGAAAAGGTAATAGGGTGTCAGGATGTCAGAACAATTAGCAAAGACAGCTATTTTTGTAAACCAAGCTATGACAAGGAGAGAAACGTGGGAAACCAGGGAGTGTTGTCTATGCCTGCCCCCTTTTTTTAAGAGAAGATGACAGTGTTTAAAAGCTGTAGTTGAGATGGAGAAGATGGTGAGAGACAGGAAAAGGAGAAGATGAATAACATAGGAATCTTGAGAATTTGGGAATGAGTTGGATTTGAAGTAAGCCCAGAGGAACAGATACTCTCTGTTGTCACAGGAAGGAAGGAGGAGAGGACAGGTATAAACACAAGAACCAGAGTGGACACCCAACAGATGGACTCTACCTCAGGGAACTCAGAGGCAAAACTATCTGCTCATGATGAATTGGGCAGTAGGTAGAAGTGGCTTGAAAAAGTTGGAAAAGATATGAAGTTAAGAAACGTAATAAATTGATGGTGATATGAGAGAGCAGTAGAACTGGATTATCTCAGACTTGAACCGATCTGCCCACTTCTTCAGCAGTTCTGCTGCTGCTAAGGAAGTTTCTATCCAGCTTCATGTAGGCTTGGTCTTTGTGGCAGGTTGCCATGGGAAGACTAGAGGAGAGGCTCAGAGGAATTTAGTATGTCTTAAAATAAGTGATTAAAAATAACTTGCCAAAATATTGAATTTATCAGCTACAATTCCATGAATTATTTTCATAAATAAAACACTGTCAAAATACCAGCCATCTTTAATTGAAGTAAACCACTTGAACGTGACAAAATAGACATGAGTTTTCCAGATGCTTTCATCATAGTAAATTCCCAATGTTTGCACACTTCCCAAAAAAAAGCAGTTCAGGTGCATTTGTTATTTTGTTCTATTTACCAAAAGAGTATATTGAAAGAATTATTTAATTGCAACTAGCACTCAGAGGCTGTAGGATAAGGAAATTTTTAGAAAATTTTATTTTCAACCTTGCTTTTTCCTCATCAGAAATAAGTAGGATTTAATATTTAACAATAGCAATTCTGTGCATTGTAAGAAATTCAAGTTCCTTGAATATCCTAATAACCATAAACAATCTGGCCTCATTGCAAGAAAGTGGCAGATGAGCAAGACATTGTAGGTTTGAATGAATCACATTGCTTATTTTCATGGCCCTTATTTAGAAGGTGCTATGATAGAGGTCTTTTACTAGATACAGAATCTCAGCAAGATACTTAATTTCCCAAGCGTCACATGGAAGTAATAATAGCTTCCACCCCATTTTTGGCACTGGTGAATTAAATGAGATAATATACAGTGCCTAGTACATATAAGCTTTCTGTAAACTGTGGCTACTGTTACTATGATTACTAAGATTTTCAGCTTCATTATTTATATTTTAAAAAATGTTCTAAAATGGGATTTGTATTTTACAAATTTAATAGAATAAGCATAATTATTTGACATTATGGAAACAAAACAAAAGCAATTAAAATAGCAAGATTGGAGTTGTAAGACTCCCTGTTTCCTCTTCTAGGTTATAATTCAATTAAATTTAACTCAGTAGAAATTGTCAAACTATGGTATGCTGGAAACCTTGTATGGTACTGGAGACACAAAAATGAATTAAACTCACCTCATTGCATTTTTTCATGGCCTTTTGCTGTTTGTCAAGTCTTCTATGTGCATTTCCACCTCAGGGCATTTGCATGTACTTTTCTGTGTGTCTGGAACTCTCTATCATTATATGACAGGCATTTATTTGTTCATTTCCTAGTTCTTCCTAAGAGACTATAAATTCTTTTGCAATTAGGAACTTTGTTTTATTCCCTGCTGTTATTCCCAGTGCCTAGTACATAGTTTAAAGTACTCAAAAAATATTTGTTAAAATAATATATTATTGACATACATGTATGTGAATATGTATGTATACATATACACAATTCTCACTAGTGCAAATTCTCTATAGTTCAACATTTAAGAGTTTCTTTAAAAATAATTATTGTGTTCTTCCCAGCTTTGTCTTTAGTTCTAGTGAGTGTTTTATCCTTATTTTTCTCTCTCCTCTTTAGGAATGGAATGCAACTTGCAAAAACTGGTTGGCAGCAGAGGCTGCCCTGGAAAAGTATTACCTTTCCATTTTTTATGGGATTGAGTTCATTGTGGGAATCCTTGGCAATACTACTGTTGTTTTTGGCTATCTATTCTGTCTGAAGAACTGGAATAGCAGCAACATTTATCTCTTTAACCTCTCTATCTCTGACTTGGCTTTTTTGTGCACTTTTCCCATGTTGATGAGAAGTTATGCCAATGGTAAATGGGTATATGGAGATGTGCTCTGCAAAACCAACCGATACATGCTTCATGCCAACCTCTACACCAGTATTCTCTTCCTCACTTTTATCAGCATTGATCGATACCTGCTCATGAAGTATCCTTTCCGGGAACACCTTCTGCAAAAGAAAGAGTTTGCTATTTTAATCTCTTTGGCCATTTGGGTTTTAGTAACGTTAGAGCTCCTACCCATACTTCCTCTTATAAATCCAGTTATAGCTGGTAATGGCAGCAGCTGTATTGACTATGCAAGCTCTGGGGACCCCAAATACAACCTCATTTATAGCATGTGTCTAACCTTCTCCGGATTCCTCATTCCTCTTTTTGTGATGTGCTTCTTTTATTTCAAGATTGCTCTTTTCCTAAAGCAGAGGAGCAGGCAGCTCACTACCACTTTACCCATCGAAAAGCCTCTCAGCTTAGTCGTCATGGCAGTTGTGATCTTCTCTGTGCTTTTTACGCCCTACCATGTCATGCGCAACGTGAGGATTGCTTCGCGCCTGGGCAGCTGGAAGCAGTCCCGGTGCACTCAGATCATCATCAACTCCTTCTATGTCATGACTCGGCCTTTGGCCTTTCTGAACAGTGCCATCAACCCTGTCTTTTACTTCCTCATGGGAGACCACTTCCGGGAGATGCTGATCAGTAAACTGAGGCACCACTTCACATCCCTCACAACCTTTAGAAGATAAGCTAATGGACTAATGCTTCCTTCTGGGGAAAAGGGAGATGCTTGTGTAGCAGATTGTTTTACACATGCAGCTATAGCCACTTAGCGTTTGATTTAACTCACAGATGTAAATCAGAGAAGGTCACAGACCTGACCCTGTTTTAAAGACATGTTGTGACCAGAGTATGTGAAAAGAAGAGGACAGGAAGTGTTTATTGGTTTCTTCACCTAAGAACTGAAAGGAGCTGACCAGCACTCTCTAATGCTTGGGCATACAAATCCAAAATCCTAGGTGTCGTAAGACCTTTCCAACCAGTGTACAAAGAAGAGAAGATGGATAAAGCAGCATGTTGTTTGCATTTAATCTTTGGTCAAAGTGTAAAACAAACAAACAAACAAAAACACCCCAAACTGTGTTGGTAACATTCTCTATGTTATTCTAATTCTTATGATCTTACAGCTTTCTGTGAGAACTGAATAACAGAAGATTAGATATACACAATTGCATTCTGTTAGAAGTTGTGCTCTTAAACAAATTTAAAGTACAAAGGAACAATGACCAGGAAAGCAATATAATGCATTCAAGGATGTCTATATGATATGTTTTTTATATTGATCATGAATTGGGTCAATTGGTAAGTATAAGTCCTTTTTTGTTGTATGGTTCTTAGTGCAAAGTCATATTAACTGGAAACTAAAATGATGGTTCAAAAAAAGAGAGGCATGTTTGAGCTTGTTCTAAAAGAATGTACATGTAAATGATTTTATCAAAATACAAGAAAGAGATACTAAGGATAGTTGCAAAACTTGTGGAGTTACAGAACACAAAGTGCCTGTCAGGAAATCCAAAGCAAGACAAAACAAAACAAAACAAGAGCACACTGTTTCTAGATAATGGTGCCATCTGGAATTTGATGATCACAACTTGATTGTGAGTGCATGGAAATACAAATTCATTAGCCTTGCTCCTCTTGATTAAATAGTAAAGTTTAAAAAATATTAGCATCATAAAACCAGCAAATAAGAGGAAATGAAATGGGCTAATACCAAATTTGTTGGGTGAACTTTCTCTTTTGGCATCAGACCCCAGAGATTAAGGGACTCAGTCTCAGGAGACAGTCCCCACTGACCTCAAATGCCAAAAAACAGTAGTAGGTCCCAAGGTTACCCACAGTCTCTGTCTGATTTGGCCACAAACCCCCTCCTTGGGTGTCGTTAATGTGCAGATGAACAGCTGAATGAAGAGATACTTACAGTGACGTCTGGGAGAGTCCTGAGCACAGAAGCTCCTGGGTCCGTGGTGCTGGGATGAGTTGCCCTCTGGTATATAGATGTGTTCACCAACCTGGAAACTCTCTGAATCCCCTACTTTTGGGAATTTTTATGGAGGTTTCCTGATGAAGGCATGATCAATTATTAAATCCATTTCCAGGGCCTCTCCCTACTCTGAAGAATGGCGGGGATGGGCAGGCCTAAAAATTGCAAGCTTCTAGTCATGGCTTAGTCTTTCTGGGGATGAGTACCCATCCTGGAATCATTCAGGAGCCCACCCAGGGACACCCTCATTAGAACAAAGATGCTCCTAGTGCCCTTATCACTTAGGAATTTACATGGATTTTAGAAGCCCTATGCCAGGGACAGTGTCAAAAACCAATATATATACTTCCTATTATCTCACAGCAGGTTAGGCAGTAGAATAAGGTATTCGAGATAACACACAAGAGTGATAAGAATTCAAATGCTTAGTTCACTTCAGTGGAGGAAAAATTTTATATGTATACATATATATGTATATATACTTATATGATTTTATATATACACGTATTTTTTTCCTGCTAAACATTTTATATATACATATTTCTTTTCCTCTGCTAAGAGAGTAGTAACCTTGAGCCAAGCATAGTTCCTTCTCACTTCTTTATAGCACTGTCTCCAACTAGATTTATATGTTCAAATTAGTGGGGAAATTCCACTTTGGTCTTGAGAGCAAACTCACTTTCTAACCAGGCTTACTAGTAACAGATTAAGTGCTTTGACTCTCATTTGCAAAGGAATTCCTGTGGCAATACTTTGTCAGAACCCAGAGGGAAAAAAAGTGAGATTGGTCAGGATTCAAGCACCAAATCCTATTCTAAACCATCAGCATAAATAACAGGAATAGCAAACACTTCGGTAGCACTTAAAATGGACCAGGCACAGTTGCTCTAGCAGTTGATATATTTTAACTTTTTCAGCTCTTACCAATCCGTGTGAAGGTTATAGATGGAGAAACCAAGGCATGGAGAGTTTAATAGCTTGCCCAAGATCACACAGGAAGACAGCGGGAGAGCCAGGCTTCAGATACCACACTCTTAACCCTCATGCTGTAGACCACAATTGCATGGAAGTTCATGCACTTTAAGACCATTTTTAGATTCTATCTAAGGATGTTTACTTTATAATTTATCATATGGTTTGATCCCAGTGTCATCTAATAACACAGTTCTAAAGAGGACAATGCTAGGATGGTGCAAGAAGGAGATTTAGAATTAACTGAGTCAGTCTTAACTCTGAGTCACATTCACATTTTATTTACACATGCAGGATGTTGGAGTCATTTATAATCTTGAATTTAATCACATGGCATGGAATCCATGGATAATGTTTTCACAAGATGCAATAGGCTTGAGAGTATGTGGTTTGTCAGAATAGACAATTTCTCTAAATAATGACCACATGTATGATTCTAGGAAGCTGACTTCTTTACTAATGCAGTGTTAAGTCCTACGTGAGTGTGTATCAGTGTTTCCTGAACAGAATCAATGAGTCATGTTCATATTTTGTCTAAATGCTCATAGTTATGGAGAATATTTTGTTAGAGAATTTACTCTTTGGTAACTTTTCATTGAAAGTAGGAATAATATATTCAAATACAAAAATTTCTCTTATTCTATATGTGATTAGATTTATTAACTCTAGCTGTAATTATATTGATTTGACCTATTGATTCCTAAAGACAGCAAATTATAATCCTTTCCATGTCACATTTAAATCTATATAGACCAATACCTGAGACATAATGTCTGATGTGTGTGTATAGGTCACATAAAGAAAAGCAACAAGGAATGTGCTGTGTAAAATTATTAGCTTTGCCTTGGTAACTCATTAGATCCCCCAGGAGCCTTGCCATATTGGTTTATTATTGTCTCCAGTATACTGTTGAGGAAACAGTCTTTAAGAAATTAAGCAGTGGAACCCTCAATATACCTTTCAAAGTTGGTTTCGAAACTTAGATCTGACTCTAAAGAAGCACCAACTATCCAAGACAATCTCTTTTAAAATGAATCCCAAGTGTCCACCCCAAATTTAATCCACTAAAATATAAATGAGAAAACTGTTTACAGACCACTGTGCACTACAAACCACACAGCACTGGAGAGAAGGTGTTTACAAACTGTGAAACATTATTTTTGAGGAGAAAACACTGATAATGGGAGGAGAGATTTTTAATTTTTTTCCCCTCAGAAATGTAGTTTTCTTAATTTAAGATTTAACTTTTAGGAATACAAGAAGTTTGAAATTAATGAAAGCTAATTTCAGAGCTTTCCATCAAAAGTGTAGTAAGTTAAGGCATATGAAAGTGCATGTTTTAAAAGTCTGCATTCAGGCTAACTTGTGGAAAACTAAAATTCTTATCACCAGGGAAAGGATAAGGGATCCATTCTTAGATTTAACAGCAGTTGGTGAAACAGCTGACGTCTCAGCTTGTATTTATTACATAGTACACACTTCCTGTGGTTTTCAATGGATCAAAAACTAAGTAATAAACATTTCGGTGCATTAGAAAACTGGCGTATTCTACAAGATTATGTATAATATACACATAAGAAACTATTATCTCAACTTTAGCTTCAGTTGTGACCACAGCCAGGATAAAGACTTGGCCTGATGAACCGTGGGGCAGGACAGAGTGTATTTTATGTGTATACATAGCCTCCACAGACAGAGAGCTCATCATCAGTGAAAGCAAGTAAACTCAGCCAGTTCTTGTCCAGACAAAGCCTTGACCAGATACGGGAGATGGGTGATTCTGGGTGTGGTACAGTATGGGTCACTCAGATTTTTCTTTTAGCCCAAGTCCCACATATTCACGCCTGAGTTTTGTAGAGAAGTGTCTTTGCTCATAGCTTTGTGAGCAACACCCTCACCCCCACATTACCCAAAACCCCATATAGTGCAAGTTGAAAATAAGAAAGATTATCCCACACTTAACCTTGGGCATCAGGCTGTTTTGAAACTTGGATGATATAATATCCATTGGTTCCCTTAGAACTCACATCAGATCTAAGTGAAAGTACCCATCAAGAGCAAAGTGGCTAGTCAGATGTGTGTTCAGCAATCCCAGCAGGAGGCCATGAAAAAGAATCTGCAACCAGAGAGATAAGTATATACATATTTAATACACTCAATAAGAAAGTAAAGCTCATTTCGCAATCATTCAGTTCCTATGTCATATTTTTCTCATTAAAGCTGGTCTATACCAGGAGATTGAGAACAGAGATGTGCCTTGAGTTCTAAATGCATTCAGAAGAAAAATAAAAATCAGATTAAATATGTAGCGTTATTTGGCAGCTTACCACTTCTACAGCAAATATATTTGTTCAACAAATATTCATCAGATGGCCAGTGTTGGCCAGAAATGTTGTCGTTGGTTAAGCTATTCATCACAAACATTTCCTTCCTTCAATTAGCTCACTGTCTTACAGAGAAAAAGGAATGTGTAAATAGACATGCTCAAAGTGGTCAGGGCAGAAGAAAAGATGTGCCCAAGTTGCTGAAAGTGCATGGAAGAGAGGTGCTTATCTCAGTAGGTTAATGATTTGGAGGTGATGCTATCCTGTTAAGGGCTGGCATGAGGGGTGAGCCAGGCAACAGAGAGATGTAAAGGTTTATGCCTGGAAAGTAGATATTCGCAGGCAAACTCAATAATAAGGGAGCAATTCTTGTTTATGTGGGCATTTTGAGGTGAGACGATCAGTAATGTCTCTCTGGTAGAAGAGACACCACACACACATGCAGTGCTGTCCCGCTTGTCATGCGCTACACATGGGACTATTCAAGAAATCCCAAGGTCAGACTTGAATAGAAGGGTTATTTTAGGAGTTTCATTCATTCTCATCCATTGATTTATTTCTTATCTTTGAGCTTGAATTGATTCCTAGGCTACCTATACAGAGAAGGCTAATTTTCTCTTCAAATATCCTTTCAAGATTTTATAGATATCAGTATCAGTAAAGAGACCCATTTTACAAATATTGGTATCATGCTATTATGACATCAAATAATTAAGTTAAGGAGGTGGAGAGTGTCACACTTTAGTTGTTTAGAGCAGTGTTTCTCAAGGTACATAAAAAGGGGCCTGAGTTTAGCATCACTTGGAAACCTCTCAAACTATTTTTTCCAAATTTATGAAAATGTTCATGACCCTTCTGAGGTGAAGGAATTGCTTGGAATGTCTGCACATTTTCAAAAGACCTCCAGTAAGCACAACCTCTAAATACTAGATACCCAAATATAAAAATATCTACCCCATTATCAGTTATAACAAATGGCCTTATTTTGTAACTATGGTTTCCTTTGTAGAAGTTACAGGAACAGTATTATATTTATAACATACTCATTCTTTTATTTATCAGGACAGGTGCAATTATCAGTAAAATTTATATTTCTTAGAAGTAGTTTCTAATCTTCCTAATGACTTTTTATAATTGCTTACAAAAAGGAAGATATTTGATTTGGTCTTGTAACTAACTACTCAGGGCTTTAGCATCCATTACTATATTTATAAATTGCATGGCTCAAAATAGTTACTGGGAAATTCTGGGACCTATTTAGATAGTGTTTAAACATTAAAAATATTGTTAAATCAGTCTGACACAAATAAATAGATGCAAATGATACAAGTGAAAGGTCATATCCAGTTTCAAGGTTTACTAATATTTCAAGATTATAGGCAATCAAAGGATGTAGGTGGAGCAGCGAGATCTCTGGAACATCACGAGCACCTCCCAGGTCCATCTTACTCTCACTGGACAAGCTCTCTGACCCAAAGTAACAGGCAAGGTATCTGAGAAAGTTTGCAGGACACTTTAGCATTTAGATTACAATAGACTGATGTGTCATGTCTTATGTAATTAAGCATATGGGACATTTTTACAGGATGCCATGCTCGTAAAACCAGATTCTAGCTTTATTTATCAATATGCTAATCCTAAACTAGGGAATTCTGCTAAAATAATATTCCATAGGTGAGGATTCTCTGACAGATATCATTAGACTGTTTGCCAGTAGGTCTTATTTACCATGTTTAAAAATTAGACCAGGTCATCAAGTAACTTTTTTCTTATTTGATGCCTCCCCAGTCCCTAAACACAAGAGACATGGATCATAGGCAGTGTTTGAAATATTTCCTTCCCAATACATATTAGGTGATTTGAAAAGGAGCTGGGGAGAGTTTTCTGCTGTTATTTTCAAATTCAGTCTCGTACACTCTACTTTAGTCTGTTATAATTTATAAATAGTACCAAAACTGTGTTCATTTATCAACATATTATAAACTTTAGATACTGAAATAACATGGAATCAAGAGCCAAAGGTTAAATTATTTTCAAATCAGCATTACTTAATTTCCACTGCGCAAAATACTCCCTGACTTTAAATATCATAATTTGTTAGAGTATTGCATTATTTTTATAATTGCTTTTATTGTCTTTTAAGGAATTATGATACAGATTCAATGAGTTGGGGAGAAATATCAGTTCTAAATATTTGTTTAGTAATTAGGAAAAGTACTGTTCATAAAATCCTTAAATTTTTTCATCTCACTTTTCACTTTTTTTGAAAGGTATACTGAACTTTCATAGAGTAATGAAGATGAAGCAGATAATATAACTAAAGGGCTTATGGGAGCTTAAAGCACATTATATGTTGTAAATAACATATCTTAAAATTTAGATAAATAAAATGAAGGACCAAATAATCTCTATAATATCACATCATAAAACAAAAATGTGAAGTGATTGGACAATATTGAGAACAGAAGAAAGGAGTTTGTAATTAGGCAGGAATTTGATTACATAAAGTGTAGGTAGGAAAGGGAGGTGAGCATTGCATTTTTTTTGTTGCATTCTATAATTGCAATATGCTGAAAAGATAAATGATCATTTTTTTTTCCAAATCACTGAATACTTACTAACTAGGTGATTGCAGATGAATCTTCTTTATATAATTAAATGGTTTTATTGGGAAACATTTGTCATTTACATTTTTAGCATGTATTACTCAAAAGTTTCTCAGAAAGAACAGATACACTTGGTTTGTCATCTGGTCTTTCACAATCCAGAATTACTGAAGAAATCCGTCTTTCCTAAGATGGCATTTAAAACTCTTTTTATACCAAAGGATGTTTAGCAAATATTGGCTCACAACTCCTTGGTTTATTAATAATGATGAAATAACATGGAGTATTTGTTCTTTAGTTATTCTGGAATCTTTAAGTCATTATTTTAGAGCAAAAAGTTAACTTATAAAAACAAACAATAGTAAAATGAACTCTCAACATTCCCATTGTGTAATTTCAATATTTACCAACTCATGGAAGATCTGGTTTTATCTGTATCCTCACTTTTATTATTTTGAAGTAAATGTCATGCATCATACCATTTAATCCATCAATATTACTATTTATCTAAAAGACAAGAACTTACTTTTAAAAGAATTATAAGTATATGGGTTATTTTTCCCATGACTTCACTTGTATTCTATTGTGGAATTATGCATCACTGACCTCTGCCATGTGATTTTGCAGTTCCTCCCCTGTCAACAGAATTTATGTCCCACCTGTGGATATTGAACTTGAACATGAAAATAGGTTGGAATGTTAGTGCTCATCACACCAGCAGAGACTACATGGTGCTTTATGAGTACGTTTGGCCTTTGAGGCACTTGACACACATACTTTATGTTTACCCAGCGGCAACCAAATGCATGTAGAATAGAAAGGATAGATGCTTGTTCTTTTCCTCTATTACCAGTTTTTAAAATCATAAGCTGGTTTCTTATATCCTCCAATATGGAGCTATTAGCTTTTCAAAAACTAACTTATTAGAAACTCGTGGATTTTTTTTTTGTTTATGCTCGAATTGTCCCTTACTTGGTCACTGAGGAATTCCTCAAGTGGGATCCTGAGTACTTTTGGTATGATTTTTTTTGGTGTCTTTGATAGTTGCTTTGCTATTTGGTATGCCCTTCTTGTATGTTTCTTACCACTGGAATCAGCCAGTTTCCCAAGAAACTCTCATTCTCTTTCTTGAGACAAAACATTTCGAACTGGATGCTAATTGTGTGTTTCTTCTAGGTTGCCCACTTTTTCTAGGAATATGCAGTGGACACCATTTTTTAAGATAAAAATATATCATAAGCAAAACAATTTAAGGTAAAATACACCAGACTTGAAATTATCTTCTTTTTCTCATACTAAGAAATCTGGTTTTCAATAACACAAGGAATGATAAATTTACAATATCACATAATTTTCTCATTTGTTTTTTCCAGTGTATATACAAGCTTCAGTATTATCAGTATCAATACTACTATAAATAATATGATTTCTAAAATTGTTTTAAGGTATGTATTTTTTATTTTGCAGTAGTTTTGTCCTTATCATATACCTACTAAAGATGTATCATCTATTACTATATTTGAAAGTCTGTTTTTAATCCCTACTGCAACGTCTAAAGTTCAGTATTACCACTGCCTTCTCAATGAGGCAGCAAAGTACCAGCGGGGTCTAACATACTGCCCAAGGGAAGGATATGGAAGTTTGATTCCACCCAACCTGATTTCAAAGGGCTCCATCCTGCTCTCATAATAAGCAACAGGGAAGGGAACTTAGCTTCAAGCAAAGAGGGACTCAGCCTGACATATTGGGGAGAGGAGTAAATGGATGCTATTTACAACTACTTGAAAATTTTTCATAAGGAAGAGGAATTAAATTCAATCTGTCATGATTTACAGGCAGAACTTGTCCAGTGGTTAGAAGGGAACTGAGTTAATGTTCAGTTGCAGACAAGAGTAACTTTCTATCCTTTGTCTGAAAATTGGATGGCTTGCCTTCAGAAGTAATGTGTTCCCCATCACTGGCTATGCCCTGTGTTTTAGACATGCTGTAGAGTGTTCATGTCTTAGATGGGCCTGAATGGCCTCTGGGCTCCCTCCTACCTATAATTTTGTGCATCTAGGCTTTCCCTGCCACCTGGCATTACTTTCTTTGGGGATGGCTTGCTCTCTGTTTGCTCTCTTTCTCTCCTGGGAAAACCTGTGTCAGATGTTCATTCACGCTGGTGTATGAACTGGCTGTCCCCCCAAGCAAATCAGCACACATGGACTTGTGAGGTGGCTCTCCCTCCTGGGCTCACTCACACCACCCTGCGCTGCTTCTCATTTAAGCAACTTTGTACCATGTTACTAGATGGCAGCACCTTTTAGGAAGAGTTATTTGCAGTTATGAGAGTTTAGAACTCTAACCTGAAGCAAACACAAAGATGCTGTGAGATTTTAGGCATGAGTTAATTTCTTGTTTTA